ATATTTCGAATATCTTCACTGATTGATCATGATTGTGAAACTTAATTTGAATCCCAGTTTCGATGCATACACTTATCTCACGATTGCAACCAGTGATAAGTTTTAGCTTTAATACAAACAATTCGGATCTTAAAAGTTCCAATTTGTGCCGAAGTATGAAAAGAACTCCGTAGATTTACGTTGCAGGAAGCAAGGATTCAAAAATTCTCAATGTAAACAGTGTTCAAATGAGGTATAAAAACAATACATGCTTAAGTCCATGCCAATCTTATAAGCAAACTCACGGCCACGCATTATCTCCAGCAAAATTATTTTCTGCGGTAAATCGGCGAAGCACACTTGTAATAAATGACAATAATTGATCGGTGAGATTTGAGAAACAATAATTCATTCATATAAATACGCCATTTCTCTCCTCCCTATAGTACTTATTCTAATTCTTTCTGCTCTGACATCAGAACAGCTATGAAATTCCCATAGATGCCATTCAAATAAATTCGAGATTTTGCACCACTTTTCGAGAGATTTTAGACATAGTTTTAGTCTTAGTCTCAGTCACGAACTTATTCTGCATGTATAGTGAAATTATTTGCTTACCATTAGACTGTAATATTGAGCGTTCTGGTGAATATCGTCATTATAAATATATGGAATATGGAATACCCAGCAGCCGGATGACTCCAGAGATTTACTAAGGTGAGGTTGGTTGTTATGAGCCTTAAGATTGGCGCAGTTAAGTACTGGTTTGATCTCCAGCCAGCTGTGAAAATTTGGCGTAATCTAGTGTCGGAGCCTATCCAGACGTGGCCTAAACTTCAGTGCTGTCGCTACAATAATAATATACTTTCTTTGTTCTTCCACAAATGCGTCAGTGAAACTATAAAACAGGGCCTATTTGAGGTAGGAAATTTTTTTAGTAGGGTAATTATATAGTAAATGAAGTTAATACAATATTTCGAATTTATTCAGAAATTATAGACACATCTAAAAACTAAACGTGTGCCTAAATTTTTGATGAAGTTATTTATTTTTAATCACTAGGGACTATAGTATCCATGCATCTTAGAGTACTTTAGCTAGCTCCAGCTACGTGTTATTGGTTACTCGAATTTAACGTAGGTTTTTATCGAAGCTACAATCTGATGTTTGCCTTTTTATTTGATGACAAAGTTGAAACCTGCCTTGACTGTGTGTATGCATTAGTGTATTTCACGCCAAAATACACTAATGCAAAACCGGCGGCAATATCCAATTAAACATTAGACCAATAAAGTGTGCGTTTTCTACCGCCAAAATTGAAAGTAGAAAACGCATGCTAGGGTGAAGATCTTGAAGGTTTGAACTCAGCGAGGCGTGACATGCGGTGCTAGGCATTAACTCACAAATCGATTAAGAGCTGTAAAATAAAACGAATGAAGCTTTGTGTAGCCTGGCTAATCAAAACCATAAAACAATTCGCTGTCACGCACGCAATCGTAATCACTGAAGGCTTCACTATCGCTCGTTTGCACTGCGACGTCGCGAATTGCAGAAATGTCACGAACTTGGACCTGGATGGGTGACCTGAACTGGACTCAAAATTCATTGTACGATGATGAATTAAAAACATTATTCATTGATTAATTATAAAATTTTATAGAGTTTATCATGGTCATTCACGATTTTAATTGACTGGAATATTCTGAGACAAAGGAATAAATTTTGACTTCTTACACGTAATCATTACATTTGAGCTTCTCGTGCGCGATGCAATAAATCGTTCAAATATGAAATAATTCCTTCAGCCCATTCACGCCTGATGCGGTTATGACTGAAAATTTTCGATTAAATTGTATGGAAGTTATATATAAATCTTTATTAATGCTTTCACGTTGTCGTGGTTTCCATTCCAGTGAAATTTCTGATCGACCACTTCACGCGAGAGGTCCACGTGCTGGTTCATGCGCAATGAACTGCGCCTGTAAACCAAAATGAAAGTAAAATTTTTAGCATATAAATAGTATAACGAAATAGTATAAATAGTACAACGAAGTCTTGGTGATATTTTTTATGTGAAATAAAAAAGGTAGTAAACGTAAAATTCTAGAGTTAATTGAAATTTTATTCGTTTAACATTAACTATTCTCAGTAATTTCGCGAATTAGCTCATGGGCTCTGAGGTAAGCAATTAATTCATATTTTAAGATTCATTGAGTGCAACAGAGGCTGCCTTCCATTGACATAATCTTTGCACACTGAAAAAATACAAACGTGCAGAATTTAGGAGTGAATGAGGTATAGTTCTTTTCAACCAGAATACTAATCAAGTAAACCATTAAGACGGCAAAACGAATCCACCGTTATTTGGCGCGGTTAGGGAACTTGAACACGGACAAGAGACTGCCGACAAAACATCGGAAATAAGAGATATTCTCACTTCTCAGTGAGATATTTGAGCTTAATTGAACAGGTTGCCTTTTTTGTAAACTGAAACTTTTTTTGGATAATCCATCTTGAGTCATAAATCTATTTTAGTTTTAATTAGGTAAAACGTTGACAAAAAGATATCAATGACTTTTCTTCGTGTGTGAATATAGATAGACGTAAACTATAAATTTTGAATATAAAGTGAATAATCTCTCAACTCAGGCACAAATTTTACTGAGGAGGTTTTCGTATTATTTAGGAAATTTAATGAAATGCTTGCAGGCTTCTTTGTGTTTATGCGAGGCACGGCAGGAATTTGCAATTTGCGAACAATTTAGCCAAATTCTCATGAACGAAATTTATTGAGTCAAATTATGTTTTCGCACACATAATTTAGACTAATTTTCACTTATTTTCACTTCTGTCAAAACCAAATTTATTATAACCAAGTAATTTACTTGATTAGTTTTGACTTAACTGAAGTGCTATAGGCATTATAGTTTTTATTATTTCGAAATGAACTGCACAACTGCTTACGTGGCAATGTCTTCTTAAATCACTATAAATTATATTCGCCTCACATCGACATTCCTCTCCGGTTAAATCTTCATATTTAAAATGAAACTATTAGTCCTGAGAATGGCTCATCTATACGTTCATCTTATATTTACTGGGCCACATTATAACAGAAATCAATAACTTTATGCGATTCATGATAATTCATAGTCTTCCTCTACGATGCACGAAAGATCAATGATAGTCTAACAAAACGAGGCGTCTTATCAGCTGAAAATGATAGGCTCATACGACGATACGTGTTATCAGCTGAACAATTTTCAGTCTGAAGGATTCACGATTTATGACGTGTAGAAAAGTCGCAATTTCGAGACATTTGGAGACCTATTATACTATATATTGAACAGAAATTTGTGTTTTTATATTGCTAAGCATTCATTTAACAATAAAGTATTTGTAATCGCTAATTCCAGTTATTCAGCCTATAGTTGGTAACCAAACCATCCTGTGCGTTGGTCTTCACGTTCCCTGCCTATTTAATTCACACAAGGGCATGGCATGGCCAATGAAACTTAGGTAACTAAAGAGAGAAAATTTAATTCCAATAAACACGAACAAATGTTCACCAACACAGTCACAAGCCACAGCTACAGTTATAGGCTCAAAACCACTGCCACAGCCCAGTCATGGGCCTAATTCCGCAGTTTGAAATTATTTTGCATCTATTTCTACAAAAGTTGAAGATACCATTACGTAGATTTATAAATCCTATTACTACTTAAATCAGACAAGATTGCTTAATGAAATTACAATAAATATGTCCAGCGTTTGTACACCGTATACCGTACTGGGCCTATATACTTTCAAAAAAGTTAAGAGATCGTAAGTTCATCAGCCAATCATTGACGGGTTTTCAAGCAAAATCCGCCAATCATAGACAAGAAAATAGAGCGTAAGTACTTACGTTCACTTAGCGAATTCTGAAAATATGGCCCCTGGACAGCAAAAGTGATACACGCTGACGGAGATGCGTGATAAGCGAATGCTACACGAGGTGCGTCTAAGCTGCGGCTACAGTATTTTTGATGAAACTTGATCTATGAGGCTGATTAGACAATTTTTTTCCACCGATTTTTTTAACATCTTCGGAGCAATTTCAATGAATTCCTATTGCTTGATGTTTAATCTTGACTCATTGACTCATGCATGCGTCATTTTTCCAAATGTAGACATTTTGTTTCACGTGCCTCCAGAGAGAAGAGACAGAGCCGTTCTGCTTTTAAATTCAGGATCATTTTCATCATTTTTTGTATACTTTTATACAAAAATTATACCTATTACAATATATATTTGTCACAGCTTTAAATTTTGCTATAAATTCAGAGAAAAATGAAATTTTGCTATACAATTGTAAATATAATTTTTATGTGTATATTTACGAATAACTTCATTTATTTACAAATGACATGATGATCTCATTCAACAAAATTTTTCCCAGCTCTTTCACCATTAAAATTCATTATATTGCTCTGGTCTCCTATTTGATGCCATTCTTACCCTCCCCGTACGCCATGTATAGGTGGTATCCAGTCCACAGTCTTGCGTTCCTTACCCTACCCGTACGCCATGTATAGGTGGTATCCAGTCTAAAGTCTTGCGTTCTTTACCCTCCCCGTACGCCATGTATATGTGGTATCCAGTCAACAGTCTTGCGTTCCTTACCCTCCCCGTACGCCATGTATAGGTGGAATCCAGTCTACAGTCGTGCATTCTTTACCCTCCCCGTACGCCGCGTATAGGTGGTATCCAGTCTACAGTCTAGCGTTCTTTACCCTCCCCGTACGCCATGTATAGGTGGTATCCAGTCTACAGTCTTGCGTTTCTTACCCTCCCCGTATGCCATGTATAGGTGGTATCCAGTCTACAGTCTTGCGTTCTTTACCCTACCAGTACGCTATGTCTAGGTGGTATCCAGTCTACAGTCTTGCGTTTCCATAGCTCACCTTTGCGTCGAGGGGCGCGGGGGCGGCGCGGTGTTAGGGGCAATAGTGAGGTCAGTGCTTCAGTTACCGCGCTGTCGTCGTAAGGGGAGCATGCGCGTGTTTGCTGCGCCCTCTGTAACCAGTGACTCTCTGGGCACTTGTCTGATGTGTAAATGAACAACATGCAATAGCACGAGTTGTTTTGGAACGAACACGATTTGAGATTAGTTGTTAATGATCCCAGTGACAAAGAAACAAACATTACAGCAGCATTAAACAAATATTGTGTTAATTATATTTTAATGCGAAAATCAGACGAGCTCTGACACATTGTAGCTGCTCTCTCGTGACTCTCACGTTAAAGTTCGCAATTTTTTCGGGCAAGTTTTTTATCGGAAACTGGCTTGACTTTCGTGTGGGCTATCATTATCAAATCTGATCTATTAATATATTAAATCTCATCTACACCGGATTTATCGCCCTGAAGATGATTACAGCGAGTCTTCTAGTTCTGCTTGTTGCGGCTGGTAAGTAAATCTCATAGGATGAATCTAAAATTATTATACGATTGTTACTAAAACTTATTTTCTATAAAATTATTTGAAATCACGCGTATGTGGATCAGAAGATTAGATTTTACGTTAAAGTAATTAAAAATCAGAAGTGGCTACTAAATTGTTGGGCATGGGAATTAATTTTCATTCAATATATATCAAAAATATATAAAATGACTTCTCTGTAGAATGCAAAACGATTGCAAACTATGTTTCGCTAAATTCGTTTTCTATATATTTTTCTTTTTTATTTAGTATATTAAACCAATAAGATGCAAGTTGTATATAAATGTATACATTTGAAGAACGCAAGGCTGGAATTTTATTTTACATATACTATACTAACAATAGTAATGTAGTTGTTGTTTAATTTAGTGGTTATGTTAACACAATAAAGGATAAAACACATTATACACAGGATACAATAATCACAATTCGGTTCCAGACACGGACATTAATGTTTTCTTAAAAAATAATCGTTAAAGCATTCAATTTTATTAGAAGTTTCATCTCGCATTTTATAATAATTATAAAAATCCTATATTGATGTGCTGGCGATGACGGCTAAACGGTATCGTGGGGAAGCAGCATTTCTCTAGCTGACAAACTTTGTAAAATTATAAACGTAGGAAAATAAGCAGCTAGCCATTATAAGGTACAGTTCATTTCCATTCTCAATATTTCCCAATTATCGCTTATATTATAACATTTCCCAAGTTTATGTTGAATTGTGTCATCATTAATTTCTGCTCACAATATTTCTATTACTTACACATTTATCAGAAATAAAAGAAGCCTATTATTATATTGCACCGGTTCATTTCCGTCCTACGCGTATCTTATATTTCCTTTTTTTTAATTTTCGTTCTTAAAATGTCTACGTAATATGAAATTATTTTTTGTTAGTGACAGTAATTATCCTGGCTAAATGTTACGTTGTGTCCGGCCAGACTTTGTTTCCATGCTAATTAGACTGAGAGATGCGTTCCATCTTTACATTAATGTTGCTTGGCACGAAATATATTAACGCTGTTCGCTTGTGAAACATTTGCGAACATTTTGCTTCTTCTCTACTTGAATATTTTTGACTACTGGTGCAATACTTGTGTAATTGATTAAGTTGGTTCATAGCTATTTAGTTAGGAATGATGTTATTGAATGCGCCTGAATGCTAAGCAATGCACATTCATTAGATATATATGTGTATTACGTATAAACAAATTCCTCGGTTTATCTCTTTTTAAAGTTTTCAATAATTATGATGAGTGAACGGCTAACTTTCTAACTAGAACTAAAATTGTGAGACTTTTTTAATTCACCAATCCTAAACTATAACAAATATTGAGTAATGTGAACATCGGGGCCCCCGCAAAGACCTATAACTTACCTAGTATGTAACCACCACTTAAATACCATGTAAATACCACTTAGCTATCATTTAGCTTCCATACAACCACCTCCTAATTACGACATAACCATCATATAAATACCATTTAATTTCCATACGACTACAATACACATTACAAGCAATCACTTGATTTAATTGTATATATTTGCAGGCGATGAAATTATTTTTCAGCAGTAGAATACACGACAATACATGTATTATGTATCGTCTTCTTCTTAAAGAAAAATTTTCTTAAATCATTCTTTGCGTTTCACTAAAGCTGATGCCAATCGATTATAACAGCTAGCTAGAACACCACAAAAATCGGGTCTCAAATACGTTGCAGTTGCAAATTTTTTCTATTCAATTCATCATATTCGCTGGATTTGTCTAAAAAAACTCGACAGAGATAGCGGAAAATTCACAATGAAAAACAGTAAAAAATGTCGTTTTAGGCATTTTTCACGCTCATTTTTTTAAAGTCTTAAGATTTATATTTTCGAACAATTAGACTACCGTCTACCGCCTATAGACGAAACCAACTATCCATGTTCATTCGTTCTCCGAGGTTATCATTCAAAACTTCCACTGATCTTCACTTTCGTCTTAGAAAACGCATTATTAAATTTAAATATTTTCTGGACGTGCTTTATTTTATCTCGTGGATCGATTTACTGTCATCCAATTATTTTGCCGTATAAAGTATTTCAACTTACCTGGAACATTAATAGTAATAATGTCAATGATATTAACCATATTATATATCTTCCTATTTATAACCAGTTGGGTACTCATATAAAATATGTAAAATCTCCTCTATTTAATTTTAACCTACAAATTGTTGTTGACTGACTTACTTGGTGAAAAAGTCACTATTTCTAAAACGCAATTCCAATTTTCATCAGAGGTAACATCTTCTCAGCTTGTGAAAGATCAAATATCCCCCATCTTTTCGTAATGCTATAATTAACCCTTTTAGCAACATTTAACTGTGAAGCAACAATGTTATGCTGACAAAGGTTCCCTGAAATCCACTTACATGCAATTCTTGAACTAATATTGGCATGTAAACTACCTCGAATTATTAACATTATAAAAATCGAGCACGTCACCCACCTGGGTAAATCAATTTGCTTAATTAAAAATTGGAAAAATTTGATACGTAATTGGCCAGGTACGAGTGAATTTGGCCAGGTACGAGTGAACTTTTTGGAATTTCAATGAAGTTTGTTGAGTCGTGAACCTCGATCAGTTGCTATATGCTATACAGGCGCAGATAATCAAATTAATGTGCGTCTGCCATTGATTTGATTAAATAATTGAAAACTGTGGCCAAATACATGTTATATTAATCAAGGATCATGCTGCATTAGTTATCATTCCCTGTGGATAGTTTAATTTATGCGATGCACATCTATGTTACTAATTGCCTGATGTTCGAGTATATCTGTTGAGAAAATATTCATGTATTTCCTGCCTGAAATGCGAGATTTGAGAGGAAATTTGAATTGTAAAAGTTCTAAAATTGCTCGGGTTTACTGCGAACATTTGCTCTGCTCTCGAAATTTTCTATATAGATTTAACATAGTGCAAATTTGAACATATGAATGAGATTTCGTGGTTGATATGACGATTTATACATTGACATATCAACGAAGACATTTGAATTATTTATCGGCGTTCCATTGTTGACAGAGAGTTTTTTCGTCAAACCAGAATATTTATAATTTACTTGAGAAAGTAAAATTTATTGATTATTTAATTTCTCTCCTTGGATAGCATTACAAAATTTGTTTATTTATTTTCTAATTGCATGCCAACAAAATTATTAAAAATTTCAATATAATTTATTGGGGTACGGTTAGGTATATCTCCTTTAGTATTTGGATGCTGCTTTACCTCCTTATGTATTTATACGGTAATGTCACCTTTAGTATTTAGGTACCGTTATATCTCCTTAAGTAGGTAATAGTAACCTTAACTCTTAATCACAATAGAGGTTAAGATCGATATAACAATTTAACAATATAACTTTGGTTATAGGTATATATGATATTTGGGTGTTATTTTACCTATTTGGAAACGAATTAATTATTTCTTATAGGGCAGATAAGGGAAATGGTGCACACTAAAAGCTGAAGAATAATGAAACAAGTTTGCGAACTTGTCGAACGTTTCAGGTTGCCGGCAATGTAACGGCTTGTTTTAAATAGATTATAATAATTTAAAAGATATATTTTTTAAATATTTCGAGAATTATTGCTGAGATGACCCAGTGACCCTTTGCTGAAATTTTCGAAAGGTTATTTGCTGAAAATTTTCAGGGTCTGTTTGCTGAAATAACCCAGTGGCCATTTGTCGAAATTTCTCAGGGTCCATTTGCTGAAATCACCCAGTGGCATTCTGCTGAAACGATAAAGCAGACATTTGCTGAAATTATCCAGTGAACTTTGACTGAAATGAGTTAGTGTCTATTTGCTGAAAGAAGGTAAGTGACCATTTGCTTAAATGATCAAATTGCCATTTGCTGAGTGACCCAGTAACCAACTTAATATTAGATTGAGCGAGCAATCAGAGTTTCGTCGTCTCGTTCTCAGTTCAGGTAATCGGTCACTGCTGGCGTTGGAAATTTCGCCATTAAATCATTCTAAAATTAATCGCTAATAATCCTCTAGTGCAGGAGGTTGCCCAAGAAATATGTTCTACAAATCATTAATAGAATACATGAGTTAACGTGAATTAGGGGAACATGATTTCTTTCGCGCAATGTGATATTGGTTCATTCTCAGGATATACTGTACATCCAGAATTTCCTTCTCACATTCAGATTCGCCGAATCTTTCGAGACGGAACACGATTATAAATATTTTTAAAATACAGATTGATTTATTCTGTTTAAATAAGACAGATGTCTTTATTGCATCAAATTCAAGTAAGCTTTTCTAGGTCGTTCTTGCTACGATATGCGTTAAAATTGATTAGAAAGTATTTGCCTCTGCGTTTTCCGTATAACAAAATTGTCTCTATTTATTATTATGAGAAATTTATTACTGCGAGAAAATTTGTTATAATTTATTGCAAAATCTACCGTTTAAGCTGCAATTATGTGACATTTGTTTATTAACATTCTGTCTTGAATGTTGCTTCTGACATGCATCAATGCATATAAATTCAAGAAATAGATTAATGATCCCCGTATTTAGCTCAATAAATTTTGCCTCATAACTTATTCACATAAAATTCCCAAATGATCCTTATTAAACTTTTAAATTTATCACTGTAATCGTGGCTGCGGGTAAACATTGTTTGAAATGAAGAGCCACCCAGTGACCTCTCTTTCGACATTCTGAACTCAACGGTAATCATACGACAGTTTTTATTGAGTATCCAGAGAGTCATTTGTAAATTCCCGTTTATTTGCTATGGGTTATACACTGCAGTCTAGAATTACAATACAGAAAAAAGCCGCTCAATTTGTAGCGGCTGAAAGTTATTCTTCATGCATGAAGCTCAAGCTATTATTTAGTTTGTAATTGTTCTTCCGTGTCGACGCTCGGGAAAGCGGAATGTTCTTCAAAGTGTTTTA